ATCTTTACAACTAGGGCTGAACAATAATTCAATATCAATATGTATCGCGATATTTTTTTCAATAACGGTGATATGATTTTTGAACACATTTCCGATATTTCGATATACATCACCAGTGTTTCCCATACATTGATTTATTTGTGGCGTTTGACTTCGTTGAATAAACATGAGCACATTTTCATTTGATCTGATAAAGAAGCGTTCATGAGCGGAGCTACTTTGATTACAGCCATTACTGGGGAAACCGCTAGTTTTATCACTCTAAAAGCGCCTCCTGCTGGCAGAGAATGAGTTTTCATTTTAAATAAGCCCGTCTCGAGTCCAGCAACATTTCCAGTTTTTGTTGTTGTTCATTTTTTTTGTTTTCTGCAGCGACTCGGAGTACTTTTCATACCCTTTTTTTCTGGCTGAAGCACATTTGTTTCAATCTATAAGAATAATCAGCCTACTCTACCAGTCAAAAGTTTTTGAACAGTAAGATTTTTTATGTTTTTTTTTTTTAAGAATTCTCTTCTGCTCACCAAGGCTGCATTTATTTGATACAAAGTACAGCAAAAACAGTAAAATGTTGAAATATTTTTACTATTTAAAATTGCTTTCTATTTGAATAGATTTTAAAATGTAATTTATTCCTGTGATCATACATAGGTAAATTTTCAGCATCATTACTCCAGTCTTCAGTGTCACATGATCCTTCAGAAATCATTCTAATATGCTGTTTGGCTGATTATCAATATTTAAAAAAAAGCAGAACGATGAATAGAAAGATCCAAAAATCAGCATTTATCTGAAATAAAAAGCTTTTGTAACATTATACACATGTAAAATTATTCCATTCAGTATAATTTTTATTATTTTTTGGGGAAAGAAATTATAGAAATTAATACTTTTATTTAGCAAGGATGCTTAAAATTGATCAAAAGTGATGATAAAGACATTTATAATGTTACAAAAGATTTCTATTTCAGATAAATAGTGTTCATATCGATATCGGAATTATATCGTATTGACCGAAATTAAGAAAAATATCGTGATATCAATTTTGGCCATATCGTCCAGCCCTAGTCAGTACACTTCATATACCACAGTCTCTCCACTTCAACACATGCCAGTCCTGCAGCTATGATCAATGCTCAAAATAATATTAAAGGTGCCATCATTTCTAATTCAGCAGCATGATATTTTAAAAGGACAGGCACATCAGATTGAGACTTTTGGACCCACTGTATGTCTACATGCATCAAACTCTTAGCAAAACTTAGCAAAAGAGCAAAGAAAATCATTTCCATGATATGTACACCATAAAATGCATAGTCACGATCATCCTGCAGTTTGCGCCATTATTATTCAAGTTTGGATTTGCAGTACTGAGCAGCATTCAGCACTGTGTCAATAAATGATGAGTGCTTGATTGGAAGTCAGAGCACTTACGCAATCACATTCCAGTAAAGAAGCGCTGACCTCGTGGCTGTTTCACCGTGCGCTTCTTCACTTTGCTGTTCACTGTCATCAGGCAGAAGCTTGAGAGGGAACGAGTGTGGTTATCGCTCAAATGTGAAATATCCTGCTGCAATCATCTCACGCTGAGTGGAGTGCCCTAAAACCTTTAAACCACACCTGCACTAGTGAACACGCTATCCAGGCTGAACTCGAGCCTCAGAGAAACTAGTGAAAACACTGGTCACTCTAAAAAGAGCAACAGCTGCATGGGCATACCTGAGGACTTGATTGCGACAAACGTTGCTGAATTACAAGTTTCAGCTCACTTGTGAAGCAATATAAATCACAAAACCTATTAAATATGTAATTATTGAAAATAAAATTGATTAAAACATTTCCACTGTTTTGTTTAAACAAATTTGCACTCCCTTCATATTTACAATTAAGAATAGTTTCTACTGAAATGCCATAGTTGCTGTAAAACAGGTGTTTCAACTGTAAAATCATAACAAATTGATATGAAACCTTTAAACAGCATTTCTTTCATTGTAAAAAAAAAAAATTAAAAAAAAAATTAAAAAAAAACATTGACAGAATTTATATTTCGTATAAATGTCTTGTATAAATATTTTGCATAAAAATCTAAACACTCCTTAAATAACTTACATAAATGTATAAACTTAAAATAAAATAAAAAACTGCCACTGAGATAAGAGAAAAAAATCGTATGCCTCGTTTCTAACGAGCAGTACGATAGAGTACAGTACAGTAAAGTACGATTTGGGACAGTACACCCTGATACTTGATAGGCATGGTGTATCCTGGAAAGTAGCGATCGACGTCATTCTCGCGCAAAGAGCTGTAAACAACAATGGAGGACATACAGCAGATCCTATTAGGGTAAGCTAACATAAGCTAATGTTTTCATGTTGCATGCCGGCATTGTATTATTATTATTATTATGGGGTCTTGTTTCGACTGTGTATTTAAAATTTCCCCTTGTAGCACGCGTAAGTGGCGATTCTCTGTAAACCAATCAGCGTTCTGCAGTAAGTCTAGCTCCAACTGCAGAGAAATGGCTTGAAGGAGACGAAATGGAATAGGATCAAGCAGACAAGTAGTAGGATGATTAGAAAGGATGAGATTCTGCCTTCTACCTCAGCGATATAATTTTTTTCAATAACGGTGATATGACACATTTCCACATTTCCGATATTTTGATATACATTACCAGTTTCCCATACATTGATTTATTTGTGTCGTTTGACTTCGTCATGAGCACTTGAGCACTGCACGTTTCAAAATCATAACACGGCACGGGTGTTTTATATGAATGTATCTCTGAAGGGAATTGACTGTCTT